ATTCTTTCAACTCCTTCGCAAGGTTGCAGAGCTTGGCAAGCCGTTCTAATGTTAAGCCCGTTTCTTCGACAATTTCTTGGGTCTCTTCCTGTGTTTCACTGTCTTCGTCACTGGCCGATTTCGTCAGGTCTTCGAGGTCTGCGTCAGTTAGCGGCTGGGAATGGCAGTCCAACAACTCGTCGACGTCTTCAGTCGTCATGTCGCCAAACCCGCGAAGTCGTGAATCCGCGATGGTCGAACCGCGAAGTAGCGAGGGCTCACTGTAGAGGTGGTAGTCGAGAACAGTTGGTACTATTGCCGTGGATGGTGAAAGATTCTTCTGAGTGTACCATACTGCAAACCTCTTTTATTTGTGTGCACTTGTATTAGGGGCTCTGCTGTGGTGTAGAACTGTTTGTACTTCGTGGGAACACAAAAGCTCTATGCCCAAGAGCTATCGAAGAAACAAGCTGTGAGGTGGAGAGAGGTGAAGTTCAGGGGCTTGCTCTGTGACTATGGGAGCAGGAGAAGGACTCAGAGGAGACGTAAGTGGATGGGTTGATCAAGGGACATCCTGGTCAAGAATGGAAACCATGATTGTCGAGGCCACGCAGGCGCTATGAGGATGAGGAGAGCTTCGTCTCTCCTGATTTTGTGTATCACTCTCTTTAGGAGTGGTATCAGTGGGAAAGCACAGAGTAGGTGCTGTGCCCATGTCACTAGGAAGGCATTGCCCAAAGAACCTTTGCCGATGCCCACCCTGGAACAGTAATGTTGGCATTGTTTGTTCGTGGAGGTGGCAAATGGGTCTATGATTGGTCGGCCCCAGCAGTGGAAAATGTCGGACAGAATCTTGGGGTTTAGTTGGTGTGTGTGTTCAGGAGGAAACACACTGCTTAGGGCATCAGAAGTAGTACTGAGCAAGCCCGGGAGATGCACTGTGGTGATATTGATATTGTGCCTTATGCACCAATTCCATAATGTGACAGCCTCCGAACAAAGTGCGCGAGAGCATGCGCCTTCTTGTTGATTGATGTAGAAGATCGCAGCTACATTGTTGGTGTATAATCGGATCTGGTGGTTGACTAGAAGAGGCAGGAATTCTTTGCATGCATAGCAGACAGCCCTCAGCTCTATGGTGTTTATGTAAAGGAGTTTTTCCATTTGAGACCATAGGCCCCCCAAGCAGTGTGTTGGCCAACGTGAGCTCCCCATCCCAACAGGGAGGCATCCATGGTCATGGATATTGTAGGCTCCAGAGCGCGGAAGGGGAAGCCCATAGGTAAACTGCAGGGATCTGACCACCATAAGAGATGTTTTCACCTGTGTTATTTGGATAGACTTGGAAAGGGGATGTATGTTGGGCTTGTAGACTTGTTGAAGCCACCCCTGCATGCAGGGCACCACAAAAGTGCATGCCGACAAAGGGGATAGCGTATCCATGTATAATGATCTGGAGGACCCATCTATCAGATGTGATAATTTGCCAGTTCTGTAAGAAGGGTCTCAGGCGATGATGAAAAAGACCAGTTGATGGAGACTGCTCTGAAATGGGGGAGGGAATCTCTGGACCTCGACACTTTCATTAAATGTGTTTACCAGACTGCTAGGACTGTTGCGAAATAGCCAACTGAGGGCACTTACATTGCTGTCTGCCCCGGCCATGTTGGAAATGGTCTTGCCTGTGATACTGATGATAGCATTGGTGGATGTGAGATCTGGGATAGGGTTGGTACTTAAACTGCCTCTTCTTCTTCTAAGTGTTATTCTGGATACCCAGAGAGTATAAAGTAGCTCTGGAGTCTTTCATAGAGTGCAGTAAGTCATTAGTGTTCAGAGCGAAGAGTTTCAACCCACTGAAGGGGAGGTCTTCTACAAAGGATTGCACCTTTCTGGGGAAAGAGACTGTCATGCCCTTCTCATCACGAAAGCAGTTGATGTGGCGTGTACTGCCATCTCAGCCATGTCAAGGGAGGCCTGCAGGGCTGTTCTTGCTATGGTCTGACCCTCTATTACCAGAGCTTCAAATTGCTATTTCTTCGCCTCAGGTTTATTTGCGGTGAAGTCACAGATCTTGGCGTAATTTTTTTAATCATATTCGTTTAGCAAGGCGGAATAGTTGGCCACCCAGAATTGGAGGGTGGATGAGGCAAATACCTTTCAGCCAAACTTGTGAAGCCTCTTGCATTCCTGGTCAGAGGGAGCGGATCTAAATTGCTGGTGTTTGCTCTTTTGGTGAGTTGCTTCCACCAAAGGTGAGTTAGGCTCGGGATGGGTAAAGAGAAACTCACAATCCTTAGATGAGATGAAGTATCTCTTATCTACCTTTTTAGAAATAGAGATTATCGAAGCTGGTGTCTGCCATACTGCTTTTGCCGGTTCCGTAATGATGGAATTAAGTTCAGCCGCAACTGGTTTGAGCAGGTCCTGGAAATGAATGAAGTCATCAGATATTGACAGGGTTGGTGGAAGGGCTGCCTCATGACTGACAGTACTGGCATTATGGAAAAGACATAGGTGTGGGTCTCCACGGGTTTGGATACCGGGGGGGGTAATAGAGCAGGTAAGTATAACGAATGTCCTGACTGAGAAGAATCATGGGGGAAAACCCTGGATCAAATTCTCCCTATGAGTCAGACGATAAACTTTGAGACATGTTGGAGAAGCTGGCTTAACAGGTGAGTTAGTGTTGTCCACAAAAGGAGAACTGAGCATAGGGAAAATCAACAAGTCACTCTGCCATGAATATTGCTGTGGTGGCGTGGACGGCACCATGTGAGCAAAGCCCGGCAGTAACATCGGCACTGCTTGAGGGAGAGGGTGAGGAGACAGCACAGAACGGAGTGCACTTTCAACTGCGGTGCCAGTTTTGAAGTGCAGAGTGGCAGCGTTACTCTCCAATGCGCTGCTCTCAGCACAGAGTGTTCCCGCATTGGGAGGGAGGAGGGGGGCAGCTGGAAGCCCAAAGCCCCAGGGCAAGAGGAGGATTCCTCAGCCCAGGCTGGCATTCTGCCGGTAGTGCCGGAGATGCCCAGGGCATCAAAGGTACTGAGGTGCGGTGCCATGGATATGGCAGGCAGCCCGCACTTCGGAGACAGACTCTTTGCAGGTGGGGCTGCATTTGGCATGAAGGCAGACCATTTCTCTGAGGGTGCCTTTTCTTTGTGTTTTTTATGTTCTTAGTGACCAGGGTCCTAGGCAAGTCTTAACGAATTTTCAAGCATTATAAGTTTAAGTCTGAGATCTCTATCATGTCTAGTCCTTGCCTTCATCTTAGAGCAGTGAGGACATTTGTGGCAGGCATGAGTTTCACCTAGGCACTGGACACATTCATCATGTCCATCAGATACCAGGATTGCCTCCCCACAGGTAACACAATGCTTAAACTCAGGGGATCCTAGCATTGTTACACCAAAGTGAAGGTACTGTTGTGATAGGGGTTCTCTTATAGTTCTTTTATTCTGTTTTCTTTCTTCTTTCCCTTTTTTCCCCCGGTCTAGGAAGGTAAAAGCCCGGTTTGTCTGGTTGTCTCATGGTTGAATTTGTTGTTCTAGCTCTTTAGTTCTTTATGTTAGTTGTAACTGTCAATTGCAGTCTTTTTTAAGAGAGAGAGAGAGAGAGAGAGAGAGAGAGAGCAGTGCCGTGGTTTAAAGTGAAGTGTCCGTAAGGAGAAAACTATTTACGTAAACAGGAGAACTCTAACACTAAAACAACTGTAATGAAGAAACAACAACTAATTATGAGAGAAGGGTCTAATTCTAGTAGGGAAAACTGAGAGAAAATGTTGTCAGGAGAGATGAAGGTTCCCTCTGAAGCTGGTGGCGGTAGAGAAGGAACTGAAGGGGGAGGGCGCATGGGCAGTCTAGGCAGTTAGGAAGCAAGTTGCTGTCTTGGCCAGCGCATGCACCACCCAGGGGTACAGCTGAGGCAATGAAATGGAACATTTCTTTAAAGATTTCTTGTCCTTTTGCACCTGGGGCTTATCAGATTGTTGGCCCAGATCTGAGGCTGGTCTTAGTGATTTTTCAAGAAAAATCAGCTTGATGCATAGGTCTCTGTCACACCACACTCTCTCTTATAGTTTGGTGCAATGAGGGCATTTCTGTGAGACACGAGCCTCACCAAGGCAACGAACACATTGAGCGTGTCTGTCTGACACAGGAGTAAGGTTTTTACAGGAATAACAGCACTTAAAACCTGGGGATCTGGGGTTGGCACTTACTAAAACTATCTATGGAGAGAAAAAAGCTTGGAAGAAAATGTTTTTGGGTTTTTTTATTTTTAATTAACAGCTAACAAGGGACTAACTCTCTAACTAGAGGTAAGAACCGGGGAGAGGGAAGGGAAAGTGATTTACTTATCTAAAATACGGAACAAGGTTGGGAACACTGCCAAGCTCCGTCTGTGACCCAAAGCAATGGAGAAGGAACTGAATGGAAGGGGAGAGGTTTTTCACACGTGTGATGCCTGCACAGGAGGAGTGTGCAGCTTGACACATGTCCTTGCACAGCCCCAGGGACACTGCTCTGCAAACTCCGGAGAAAATGCTCGAGAGCAGCACACCGACCTAATGTGGAGCACCCCCCAGAACATCTCTCTCGAAGAACTGAGGAAGAGGTTGGCTGCACAGTGCCACCACTCAAGGTAGCCCAAGACAGGGACTATGTATGTGCAATCCAAACAGGTACTGTGACCACAAATCTCCGATTACAAGAATAGCAGCATACAAACACCTAAAGTGAAGCTCCCACAGGGACACTTCTCGAAGAACCACCTCCACATATGCTCCTTCCAGAAAGCTGGAAGGGATTAAAGTTACTTTGCTCTCTGTTTTAACCAGAATGCTAATTTCAGTATGAATGAACCCCACTGAAAGCAGACTTAACTCGCTGTATAGGTCCAGTATTGTTCAGATTAGTCTTCCTGCAAACAAAGTATCCTCTCCGGACACCATAAGGAGGAACAAGATATATTTTGAAGGACATAAAATAAATTAATTTAAAATGGAAGTAAATACTCACCTAAAGATAAATTCATCAACACCTGGACTAAAGCTTACAGAATCTAACAGAATTCCCAACACAGTGAGAGAAATAACTCCAGACATTCCAATCCACTCAGCTAAAGAAAAAAAAACAAGTACATTAAATCCTATTAATTTACTGTAGGTGACAAACTGTGTTTTAATTCACAATTAGACTTGACTACTTAAAATAATTACATTAAGTTTGATTTTGGAGAAATTTTAAAATGTGTTATGTGTACAGTTGGGGGAAAATAGGGAAAAAATTTAGCAATAAAAAAAAACATATAATTCATTAAATTCTTCCCTTTATAATTACATTCTTAAACCAATTATTTATCTTGAATTTTAACTATACTAAAACTATCCTGGCTACTTTATTTTATTTATTGCTTTACTGCCGTTATAAATGATATCATCACAGATCTGGAAATAAATAGTATTTAGTTATTTGTAATTGCTGAGATATTAAGGGGTATATTGCATTTTGATTTCTCGCTAGTCTAACAAAATTTTATCTCCCTCTCACTTTAATTTTTCAGTAGCAGCATAGTGATCTGAAAAGAAATTTAATTAGAACTCTATAACCAGTACTGTCAAAAAAAATTGTAATTTCATTAGTTTAAATTTTCAGGCAATCTTAACACGCAAATCAGTCAAACTATACTCAAATCAAGACAGAGGAAATCTGAGCCTCTGGAAACTTTGTCTCTTATAGGAATTACACTACAGCCTATCACTGTTATTATTGCATGCTTACTGGAATCAATGAGGACAATTTCCAAGGTAGAATTGACGCAAGTAATGACATCAGTTCAGAGAATTCAGGAGTAAAATTACACACACAACTTTTAAGGTCTATACACTAGAAGAAATAACAATGTTGATCCTGCTGCAAACTCCCAGGAGATAGCTAAACACTTGAACAAACAGAGATTATAATACAAAAGGTGATCGATCAGGATAAATGGTAGTAAATCTCTCACCAATTCCTCCTAACTAAGGGCTTATCTTCAGTGTAGTACAGGTGAAACTCTCTAGTCCAGGTAAGTGTCTGTGAATTGACGATATTAGAGGTGGGGAGAGTGGGATGTTTGTACTTCCTGGACACCACAGTACAAATCAACAATGGAAAATTAGACACCACTCTCTACAGAAAACCCACCGACTCATACAGTTACCTACATGCTTCCAGCTCCCATCCAAAACACACCACACGATCCATCGTCTATAGCCAAGCCCTTCGATACAACCACATCTGCTCTAATCCCACTGACAGAGACCAGAAGCTTCAGGATCTCTACCAAGCATTTATAAACCTCAACTACCCACCCGGAGAAATAAAAAAGCAAATTGAAAGAGCCAAACGAATACCTAGAAACCATCTACTACAAGACAGACCCAA